GTTTAAATGAAAGACCCTGCTGAGTTATGGTCCCAAATTCAACAGCTGCTGAGGTAACTAACAGCCTTGATCGCTCAAAATAAGTTTAAGAGCCCCAGAAAAGCTGGTTCTTCACGTTTTCCTGCTAAGTGCTTGAGGCCTTGTGGATGAAACTAGGACAGGTGATGAAAATGCCTGATGGGAGGTCAATGGGAATGTTTAGCTGGGTCTCACAAACTAGTCTCAAAAACACACTCCTGGGAAAGATTCAGTCAGAGAAAAATGTTACAGCAGGGTAAAAGATCAGTTTCCAGCTAACAGCTAATGCAGAAGCAGCTTCTTTACCTCTGCTTAGCTCACCAAAACTGCTTCTGCAAAACCTTTAGCAAGGCAGCAGTTGGAAGCTCCTCTGTCCTGACAGAACCTAGCCAGCTTTGTAATATTCAGAGATGCAACTTGTCAAAGTAACACTTCTCTTGACTTGTCTGTTTACACTCAAGACTCTTCTGTCTGGAATTCAACAAAGAATATCCCCTAAGCAGGATTTCTCTCAGGCTTCTCTGTGCTACCTGGATAGAGTCGGTCTTCACCAAGCAGAAATAAACATTACTGAAGATATTTCTATCTGCTAAGAAAGCTGACAGAGTACAAAGGTGAGGGGTAATTCCCAGTCAATATACTGTAGTAATGAGTAACCTACTCTGCATTTTGTTAAATACAAAGGTATATAATATCAGGTAAATAAATCAGCTTATTGATGTAGAGCAATTTGCAACTATATTTAATGAATAGATGTCCCAGGATCTCAAATTAGTCAGCCGCAATTCAGCCTAATGTGAACTTAGTCCACATGGCCAATGTCTGACTCAGTGTATCACACCAAACCCACAGAACAAGATAGTTGTAAACCACAGCTAAACACAGGTAAATGTGTCCTGTTTACACAACAGTCCATGTTTTGCCTTCCTGTTCCAAGAAATTGAAGAAAAGTATTTCTTTTTTTCCTAATAATTCTGTCAACAAAGTTGAACAAAGGAAAATGTTGGGGTTTTAGGGCTAAAGTTATATTAGGGTGTTATTTGTATATAGGTAGTCCTCAACTTACAACCACAACTGAGCTCCAAATTTATAATTGCTAAGTGAGACGTTTGTTGTTTTTCCCCTTTTACGACCTTTCTTGGCACAGTTGATACATGAATCTTTGGAGGTGTTAAGTTAGTAACACAATTGTTAAGTAAAATCAGGCTTCCCCATTGACTTTGTTGGTTGAAAGGCCACAAAAACTCATCACATGATCCTGGGACACTGCAACTGTCATAAATACAAGCCAAGCATCCAAACTTGGATCATGTGACCATGGGAATGCTGCAATAGTCAATAAGAAAGAAAAACGGTCATAAGTCACTTTTTTCAGTGCCGTTGTAACTTTGAACGGTGACTAAATTAACAGTTGTAAGTTGAGGACTACCTTTAGTTGCAATTAAAGCTTCTAGTTTCAAAAGTTCAAAAATGCTTCTGAGGTGAGGAAAGAATCCAGAACCCACCCCATTCTTATGGTAGTAGAAATGCAACTTTTCATTGGCAGCAAAAAAAATCAAGAGGAGCCTGGTAGCACCTTTTCCAACTAATATTTGCTATTATAGTAATAGCAATAGCACTTAGACTTATATACCACTTCACAGTGCTTTACAGCCCTCTCTAAACTGTTTACAGAGTCAGCCTATTGCCCCCAACAATCTGGGTCCTCATTTTACCGATCTTGGAAGGATGGAAGGCTGAGTCAACCTTGAGCTGATGAGAATCGAACTGCCAAACTGCTGGCAGTCAGCAGTATTAGCCTGCAATACTGCATTCTAACCACTGCGCCACCAAGGCTATTATAAGATGGGACTTTTCATGAGGCGCAGTTCACTTCATCAGACAGAGAGATTAGACTGAGGTAAGATTTAAAAGAGGGAGGGGAAGTTATGTATATGCAGCTTACATGTGAGACAGATTAACAATACCTTATCAATTAACAGAAGAAAGGGACGACAGAGAATGAGGTGGCTGGATGGAGTCACTGAAGCAGTAGGCGTGAGCTTAAATGGACTCCAGAAGATGGTAGAGGACAGGAAGGCCTGGAGGAACGTTGTCCATGGGGTCGCGATGGGTCGGACACGACTTTGCAATTAACAACATCAATTAACAATTGTTATACATTAAAAACTCATCTTTTGATGTATGTTAATTCAACAACCTTTTGCTCAACGATGGAGTTAAAGTCCCATTTTTCCAAAACAGTCACTTGAGATCTGCTGTGGAGTATCCTGAGAGGATGAAGTGCTTTGATGTTGCTTTGTCCTTGGTTTGAGTTCTGATGTCAAACTTGTGTCCATTAATTCTATTGCACAAAGCTTGTTTCATTTGTCCTACATAAAATCCAGTCAGGCATTGTTAGCATATATCATGTTACCTATTATCATTTTTGTGTACTTGTTTGGGCCTATGATGGTGCTGTTGGTGTAGACGTAAGTAAACATAAAGCAAGTAAACAATAAACATCTGAGTTTGTTGCAGGGTCTGATCCCCGCATTAATGACATTGTCTTGTTGTTTCTTATTGTTTGTGAGAATCTGCTTCAGGTTGAGTTGCTGTCTGTATGCAAATTTAGGCATGCCACCCAATGCCTTAGAAAGCATAGTGCCATTGTCTAAGATTGGCTGTGGCATATTAATAAAGGATTTGAGTGGTTTACGTTGTGGGATTTTTGTTACCATGGGCTAACACAGCTCTCCTCCTCCATTGGCTGCAATAGAAGCTTATTTCTTAAAGTAAATAGCAGACTCAGAGAAAATCAATTTTTATTGGGATCACCCTAGATGAAGAGGAAGGGCTGTGTTCTTCTTTGTGGAATAGTAAATGAGTGGTTTTACTGTTAGCCATCATCTAGCTGGCTAGGTAAGGACAGGACATAGACTGATTCAAACAGAAATGCAGAAATGAGTAAAAAAAAAATCTCAGGATTGAATTAAAGTAAAATAATTACCCATCAACACCTTTTGACTTGACTCCTAAGAAGGATGGTTAAAAATGACAAAGGGATGACTTTCATGACCATTTGGCTGACCATTTATGAGTAGCCCGAGGGGGGGTGTGTCTAATCTCCGATCACCAATGTTAGCACTGAACCAGGATGGCAGTTATTCACTTAATTAGCGTGGAGTGCAATAAAGGTGTGATCTTGTATGTGAACCAACTGATGGCTTCTGAGGGGCGGTATGCAAAATAAAGTGGGAAAGACTCACTAAGCAGCCTATATGCTGTCATACCTGAGAGCTATTGAAAAATGCCAAAAAATGTGGATTGCTTCCTTATTCTTCTCTGCCTTCTCTTCGCTTTCAATAGATTATAAAGAAAAGAAAAGAAATTATAGATGCAGTTCGCATTTACCTGAACTGTGTCTTGGAATGACCAGCAACACCATCATCCTTCCTTCTAAGATACAATCTTTCCTTCTAAGATACAATCTTTCCTTCTAAGATACAATCTTTCCAAAAATAAGAGAATAAGCGCTGTTTAAAATCACCATTGTAATTTCTGGGATTGGGAATTTTTCACTGGAAAGTTGATACTTATAGGCCAGTTAGAACATTGATCTGAGGAGGCTTCTGAAATTATTTTGGTTTGTCTGCATTTCAGGATCTTTCTTACAGATATGTTGGTTGGAGGGGCCCTTTAGCAGAGGGAGGGGGACCCTGGTCAACAGCCTTAAAGGATGCCCAATACCTGTCCTCCTTTCATTCTCTTCAGGAATCAGTTCCTCAATGTACTTGGTGGCAGTCAGGAATGCAAGACATCTCAATTAGCATCTTCCGGGCACACTATGGCCTGATTAAAAAACACAAGGATGAAGAATGGGCCTAAATTCTAGAAGAAACTTTTCCTAACTGCTTTCCTGATGGACTTTACTTGCACTAGACCAGTGATGGCAAACCTTTTAGAGACGGAGTGCCCAAACTGCAACCCAAAACCCACTTATGCATCCTTGGGTGCCGGGTGGGTGTGGCCCATTGGCTGGGTGTGGTCAGTTGGGTGGGTGTGGCCCATTGGGTAGGCGTGGCTGCAGTGGTAAAGGCAGACTGGATGGGACTAAAAAGTTCTAACTTTGTAAGATCTTTTTTTTTCCGAGAAGTTGAAATTGACTGATTGATTGAACCTTTTTTTTTTTGCACACGGTGACAGAGACCTAAAGCGAAAAGGTTTTATAAAACCCAGCTGAAAGCCTAGGACTGGGGCGACGGCGCACGTGCCCACAGAGAGGGCTCTGAGTGCCACCTCTGGCACCAGTGCCATAGGTTCGCCACCACTGCACTAGACTTTTGACTGGGGATTATGGGAGTTGAAGTCCAATCCACATGAAGGGCATTAATTTAGGGAAAACTGCTCAGGTCTCCAGACACGGAAATGAAGGGTGGGGGAAGGGCGGAGTTCTTTTTTTCTTCTTTCTGATTTCTCATGAACACAAAAAAAAAAAAACACTGTTATGTCCGCTTTAAGATTCCACTCCGATTTTCTCAGTTTTACTGAAAGTTAGAGACGGGCGAGCCTCGCTCAGCTTGGCGAGAGTTTTCGTTTCGCTTTTCCGTGCAGTGTGGTTCCGGTTTTCCATCCTTCCATCCCTCTCTCTTTCTTCTCGTAACGCGATTAGCAGGTTGCAGTATCCTAACTATTGGGACACGGCCCCAGCGCGGATGACAGTATTGTTACTTAAGTAAAGGGAGAGAGATACTAATGTAGTAGACTGGGACTTTTGAAGCTATCAGGGCCAGGGCCAGCAGCTCCTTTCCGAGCCCCCTCGGGGGGGGTTGGGGGGTCTTTTTCTATCAACCGAAGCGTTCCGAGGAGCGCTTGAGCGTCGCCTCTCCACCGGCAGATAAAGGGGCGCGGCCTTCCGTTCGCACCTGAAGGGGCGTGGCGGAAGACTTTGGTATCGCCTGCCAGCCAGCCAGCCGGACCGCGGATGATCCGCCAGGACGGGCATGGCCCGTAATTTCTACGGGCGCTGCGCGATCTTCCTGGCGATCGCGCTGGTCCTGGACGTGGCCGGGCTGGCCTTGCTGTTGGCGGGCGGCGTGGGGAAACCTGCTGTGGACGGGCGCTCCTTTAAAGACTTCTTAATGCTGTCCGGAGGGCTGCTGCTCTTCCTGTCTCTGCTCTGCTGGCTCTTCTGGTATTCGGGAAACCTGCGCGGGGTGCCGGTGGAAGAACTGCCTCCCGGGATGGCCGCGAGTTCTCCCGAACCCCGCCGCCACCCCAGCTTCCTGCGCTTGGCAGCCAAGCTTTCCGAGCGCCTCTCCCAGCGTCGCCGGCCGGCGCTTGCGCCCTCCTTGTTCTCTGCCTGTGGCGCCCCAGCGAAGACCCCGAAATCCGCAGCCTCGCTTCGTCCCGACGGGCCCCTGGAACTGGGCCGCCTCCGCGCTGGGGTGCCTGTAAACGCTGGGACAACGGCGGAGCGGCTGGTGTAAAGCATCGCCTTTGGAACTGGAAACAGAAACCAGGTAACCACCGCGTCTTCTTTCACCCGAGCTGCCTGGAGAGGCGCGGTTAATTTAGCCGGGCCATAGTTAAAGCTTCAGTAGACTTCAGTCTTGCGTTTCTCAACGGTGCCACAGTGTGAGCATCTCCGCCAACTTTAAAATCGTCTTGGGATGAAACGAGGCACCTTCGGTCCCTTTGCTGATCACCTTTTCCCCCCACTTCCAGATCAGCTCAGTGGAGCAGTTTGGCGCGTCTAGTTTCAACTTCACAGGATTTAACCTGAACTCGGATCAATACTGTAGGCCAGTGGTGGCGAACCTATGGCACTGGTGCCAGAGGCGGCACTCAGAGCCCTCTCTGTGGGCACGCGCGCTGTCGCCCCAGTCCTAGGCCTTCAGCTGGGTTTTATAAAACCTTTTCGCTTTAGGCCTCCGACACCGTGTGCAAAAAAAAAAAAAAGGTTCAATCAATCAGTCAATTTCAACTTCTTGTGGGAAAAAAAAGAGATCTTGCAAAGTTAGAATTGATTGATTGAACTTTTTAGTCCCACCCAGTCTGCTGTTACCACTGCAGCCACGCCTTCCCAATGGGCCACACCCACCCAATGGGCCACACCCACCCGGCACCCAAAGATGCATAAGTGGGTTTTTGGTTGCAGTTTGGGCACTCTGTCTCTAAAAGGTTTGCCATCACTGCTGTAGGCGTCAAGAGCATGGACAGGGTTTTCTCCCCCCTCCTTGGATGAATACTGCTTTCTCCTGTTCTCTTTTAAAATTATTACAAGGATACAGGAAGTGAAAGGCCACTGGAGGGGAGAGAAAGAGGATGAGTAAACAGGCTACAAGATAACAAAAAAACCCTGTCATATGTGTATATTATGGCTTGTTTGGTTTTGATCTGGGGTATTTTGCAACTTGCCATAACATGAACATGTCCCTACAATCTCTTTTTTCCCCCCTTAAATGATGGTATATCTCATCCCAAATTCCCACCAAAAGCAGCCTGAAGACAGCTGCATCTGCATCAGATTGGCTTCACCCACTATTATGTCCCGGGGAAGTCTGATGATTATTAATGAGTGAAATCAGCCTAGCATCTGCTAGCCAGGTTAATGCAGGCAAGCCCCCCCCCCCTTCCCACCCCAAGCTGGCCTCTGCTTTGGGCAATGGGAGAGAAATTGGTTCTTTCAGATCACGTTCTTCCCTGTATCTTCCCAATCTCCAAGCCTTTCCAGCTCAGAGTCCTAAAGCAGCTGTCCAGCAGTGGTAGCAGAGTGCATGCTTAAGTGGGAGGGGAGAAGCAGTGGTGGGATTCAAATATGTGAACAACCAGTTCTCTGTGTGGATGCTGTTTCCGGATGGCCATTCTGGGCCTGGGCAACAAAAAATTAGCTACCGGTTCTTCCGAACTGGTATGAACTGGCTGAATCCCACCACTGGGTAGAAGAGTGTTCTCTGCTGCTCCACCAGTTAATTTCCCCTGTGCCTCTCTGTTCAGGCTGCTTTTGAACCCAGATTTCATATTACCACCACCACCAAAAAAAAGCCCCTACAATAATTCTTCCGAATGCACAGGTACAAAATACGTGTGCAAAACAAATGGCTAAACTCATTATCTAGCCATCTCTCAAAACTCGACTCTGCCCCATCCCTAATTAAAGAGAGTGATTACTGGATGTTTTCATGCTGGTTGGTGATGTTAGTGGGAGGGAAAGAAAACAGTGAAATTCACCAATTGACCTGAACATATAAGGACTGCACCATTTGCCAGTATTGTGCCTATGTCAGGAAGAGGGATTGCTAGTGTGTTGGTAAAAACTTCTGCTGATTCAAGAAATGGTGGACATTCTTCAGCTGGGCCATGAAGAAGGATCAATGGTGTGATGTACAAACCCAATATTCAGTTCAAGCATCATACACACACAGCCTTAACAGGGTTCCTGTTCTACTTTGATTCTTTAAGATACAATACTTCTGAGATCAAAAAGTACTATCCTCCTGGGTGGCCCTTTGGTGTAGCTTTAAACTATTCAAAAGGTCCGTGATGTTTGACACAATAGGAATCTTAAATATCTTCTGGAATAACTTCTGGAGACTCTTGCTTTCAGAAGTTGTGGATGCTCCAACACTGAAGGTTTTTAAGAAGAGATTGGACAACCATTTGTCTGAAATGGTACAGGGTTTCCTGCTTGTGCAGGGGGTTGGACTAGATTACCTTCAAGGTCTTCTAGTTATTCTGTTACTCTGTTATCAGTTGCAGAAATAAAAACAAAAATTCGACTCTTGGGAATGTTCATGGTGCCAGAAATAAAGACCACCAAGAGAATATCTATAAAAATATAGAATTTAATAAACCTAGCTTTTGTCAATTACATTTGACATCGTCAGGGTTAAGAGGCAAGTACTGAGAAAAGTCTTATATACAGTTGTTAAATGTCATTTTCCGGCTCCTGGAGCACGTAATCGGCCCCAGCTGATCCTGCCGTACTCTGGATGCATTACCTGCGTCAACGTTCATTCCTTTCTTTCCCCGAGCTTGCATTCTCTCGTGTGTTGTTTTATCCGCCGTTTCGGTGTTGGGGGGGTTCAGGATCGGGGTGTTTCCCCCTCTCTTATGTACAGTCCCTCTGTCGTTCTGTACGTGGCTGCTTCCAAGGGGTAGGGGGGGAGGAATGTGGGCTATTTCCCATGCTCTTGAGTTTATATATCTTGAGTTTGGTGCACCTTGTCGGCCCAAATATGGGAGAAAGGAATCTTTATTACTTTATTAATCTGGGGATCCCAATGGACTTGAAATAATGGATGGGATGGGAAGGCAATGTAAGCAGAAGGTGGCTCTGCTTAAGAGAATGTTGTTCCTCTGCTATAATAAGCAACATTCCATGGTCTGCTGATTATATCTTGTTCCCACTATTCCGTGTTTTGTCTGGCATTGTACATTTTGCCCACAAGTCCCATTGGCACTGCTCCCAAGGAAGGATCAGCTTCTGAGAAATGATTGCATCTCTCATCCTGCCTATGAAAGTTTCTGTTGCCTCTGGGAAGAAAAGAGCCCTTTGCAAAGCCCTTTTAAATGGGTATTGCGAATTGAGGGCCTGTTTTCTTGTCCCTATACAACGCTGCTGCGCATGGCCTGTTCCCAAGTTGTATGCTGATTGGCATGATACAAGTCACACTTGTTAATCAGATGATCCCTGGAAGCAGCTGTTCTGTTAATAGCCTTTAGCTTTCCAGAGTGGTCAGCCTTACTAGGCAGACAAGACAGGAAATATGGCCAGATAATTTAATTCTACATTATTGTAAAGCTTCGTTAACAAAATTTTGCAAGTCTGAACATACAGTTCTCCCACTGTCCCCTTTACAGCCCAAGAACCTAGGAAGGGTCTTTCTTGATCCTGGTGGTTCACCCACTATGCAGCTGTGGGTTGTGCTGCCTCTTATTTGACCATTCCTTAGGCAGCATCTCTTTATCCCATCTCCCAAGGTCATTTCCACATACCTTTACAGGAAATACTTTTTAGCCTCAAAAATGTGAGTAGTCCTGGGGTCAGATGAGTACAATCTTACACCTGAACTAAAATGATTTATACAAACCCATTTTGAATCTAATCCTTGATTAAGGATAATTCTGGCCTTCTGGGGAAGAATGGTGGACTGAAGACAACTCTGCTGAAAGTGGAGCTGAAGACCACCACAGAATGAAGAGGTTCTATTTTAATCTGTAGAGTGCAGTCCTTTTATAACAATGTTTGGGCTCTTCTGAAGGGGGGGAATGCTGGGTGCAGAGAATGCAGAAATCCCTAATCAATCATCTTTAGTGAACTTTTGAAGTAGGACATACTATTCACCTTTCCTTTTTCTTTCTTATATTTGTTCTTTGGACAGTGATGAAATGAAATAAAAAGTTTAAGCCTGCATGAATCGTGTCTATGTAACATGTACACATACACAGAGAGATAATGTTGTGTTGTTAGGTTCCACCCCAGAGATAGGGCATAAGGTGTTTTGTAGGAGTGTCTGCTTAGTTACTGGAGTTTGCTGTATCCAACCTTGGATGGCCTTTTTTTTTGTTGTTGTTGTTGCTCCCCATCCCTTGCTCCAAGAAAATTAAGGCAGAGTTTCGGTAAAGTTTCACCAAAAGTGAAAGGATATATTCCCTCTTTTATGTACTTTATACATGAAGGCAAATATATGCGTTCCAAGATAAGGTTGCAAGAGCCAACCTGGGACAGTCACTGGGACCAGAGGTTTACTCTTCCGAGCCTTTGGACCCGTCCTGGAGCCCATTCTCAGGGAACTTCCCTCTACTTCTGTCAGAGAGAAGTTCCCCGAGGATGGACTCCAGCACAGATCCAAAAGCTCGGAAGAGTAAACCTCTGGTTCCGGTGACTGTCCCAGATTGGATTTTTATACATTCTTTCTGATTTCAGAATTAGCAGCTAGAACCAAAGTAGCTACTAACTACACTGTTCCCACAGCATTATTCAAGAATCAAGCTAAGCAAGACCATTGCATTTAGTACCTTACAGATAATTTAATTTATCCAATTTAGATACCGCCTGATTCTAAACTGATTCTGGGTAATATACAGTAAAAGGCAAACAGAAGGGAAAATTCAATACAAAAATTATTTTTTTAGAAAAGAAATAAGGAATAAAGAACAAAATCTGGCTAAGAATATCCACACCCTCAAACAGATCCATCAAGGCCCTCAACTACCCTAATCCAAGGCCTGGGACAACTCCCGGGTCTTTAAGGCTTTCTGGAATGCCATCAAGGTGGAAGCCACACAGATTTCATGGAGAACCTCATTCCAGAGACCAGTAGTGTGACAGAGAAGGCACATTTCTTTGGCACTTCACCTGGACCTGCCCAATCAGAGTCCAAGTTGCAGCTGATCTGAATGGTTTTATCTACCAGATAACATGAATTTTGCTCGCAGCAGCCCTGTAGATTATCCTGTGGTTCTTCCCTACCCAGCTGAGACC